GGGAACTATGAATGTCCGTACATCTCCGAAATTCCAAAGAAACGAAGAAAATTAACTTACTGCGAAATACTCCGAATCATAAAATCAAATGTAATGGCGTAACACCATCATCACCTAATCGATGTGACCCAATTTGGGCTACGGTAAACTGTGACAGTTAGCTCAGAAATTGCGTACCGCCACAACTCTCATTCCTTGACCAGTACCCACCATTGTCGCATGTGTTTGGGCTTTCTTTGGTGCGATTTTCATTAGTAGCTAATAAGAGTATGGGGGGAGTAGGAAACCTTTAGAGGCTTATTTAATGAAAGTGTTCGTCCCTAAAAAACTCGCTTCCATGAAACACTAATTGATCGCGGTGTTATGAAAAATGAGGGTTCGCTTCTAATCTAGCCCGAGAGTCATGTTGAGTGCGCTATCTAGATTCATTGGGCGCTATTGCATTATACAGGGGCATCCTATGAGCGTAGAAGGCTAGGAGAGAGCAGAAACTCCGAGAAATAAATTGCTTAGGCACTTTGAGGCCTTCCCTCTTCCGCCTGATGCGAGGTCCTATTTTCAACAAAATAGGGGTGATTTACGTGGTTCCAAATGCATTGCCACCACAATGCCCCCATATATTGCGGTAGCGCCTTTTTTGCCAAGTATATGACTGAAAGAAGACCACTCGAAGCATAATCATCGTGCAAAAATATCTTTTGAATAAGGAGCATCTTAACGGACGTATGTAGTGTATTGCTTGGTGGTACCTCGTGCCAACTCAGGAATTCACTCAAAACCAGCTAACCAGAACCTATTCTTCCCACACGGTTGGCACCAAACAATTCGTCTTGAAGGGCAAATCAGCTTGAGCCTCATACAATGACTACAGCTCAGTCTATAGAGAGGAGTGTCCTAACGCAAACTAAGTCCTTGCCACTACGGGTGGCAGCCTAAATCAGTTCCGTCTTGACGGCAGAACCAGAATCAGCTTGAGCCTCATACCAATGCTAGCAGCTCAGAGAATGAGGTGTTATCCTATTAAGACAGTTCTCGTTATTTCTTTGCTCATCGTGAGGCTCCCGGTAGCCCTACCAATGTCATATGTACAACCGCTTTCACATCCAAACTATACTTTGATCGAAAACTGTGTTCCAGTGGTATATAAGATGAAGGCATTTGCCGTTGATCAATCCCTTTTTTGGATGCGGCACGCATTCTACTTCCATTTGTACATTCGTAGTGGCATTTGAATGCGATGTGGCCTATACAATGACTTGCGGGGGCCAGCCGATGTACAAGTCAGTGTTTTTATCCTCCCAGACAAGTCTGGTACCAATTAAACCGACCCCGGAGGGATGGAAGGCTTGGTTGGCCCGGGCGACTCACGACCCAGGATTCGATCCCCGGACCGCTCGCGTGGTAAGCGTGCCACTTGCCACTACACCACTTCCGCCCTCATGATATCACGTAGTGGATGGCTGGAAATATACGAAGTTATTACGGCATTACAATCGTAATCGAGAAGATCGACGACTAGTTGGCGATGACACAAAGCGCTCTATGAAAGAGCAGCTGAACGAGGACCAAGCCGCCAGGCAACGAAGGCTTGAGGCCAACAAAAGATGTACGTCTTCTTTTGTGTGTTTACTGGACCGCCCGCTAGCTATTTGCATGTTTACATGAAATTCCTCAACGGTTGGTAAAGTTCCCAGACTTACTCGCTTCAGCGACGCGCTAGTTCGTAACCGCAGGAGCACGCTCAGAAAACCTCAGGTACGCACATCTTAACAGGGCCGCCTCTGCTACGGGCTCTTCTGTGCCAGAGCTGCCGTCGTACAATTTTGCGAGAGGGGCTGCCTTATCGGTAGGGGTCCCTGACCTTCTGAAACGTTGGTGGTTCGCCCGTGTCGAATTACGACCACTCAGTCACTCTCTTCGTCCAGCGATCATCGGTAAGTCTAGCCACATGACCGGCCCACCTCCGCTTGGAATTATAGATGGCATCGACGACGTCCCTTCACCATCGTACGAGCGCGGATGGTGTCATTGGGTATGCGGTCTCGGAGCGTTACCCCGCACATGGCCCTCTCCATGGCTCGCTGAGTGACTGCGAGTTTCTCCTCTTCAGAGACTGTGGTGCTCCACGTCTCCGCCCCGTAGGTCATCGCGGGAAGAACATGCGAGTTGAAGACGTGAGCTTTGACTTGGGGTCGACGTGTTTAAGTTAGTAACGGAGCTTATTGGCGGTCCAGCCCGCTCCCTGCAAAGGTCACGGAAGGTCGGTCGTAAGCTAACAGAAAAAATGAGAAAACTACAACACAGACCCTGTTCCCATCCCCCATTGGGCCTATCGTTGTTGCACACTTATGATCAGGTTGCATTACAAGTTTAGCATAGCATCAGGAGCACCAAGAACCACGAGTGATATCGACTTTTTGCGACCACAGCCACATGTGCTTGTCACTTTATAATCACGACAGGTCCACCTGCGGGGAACAGAGTAAACCACATCAGTGGCTGTGGAAGACGTGGTTGATCAAAGCTGGTAACCTCAATTCCTATGCATCAGCTTAACCATTCGTTTGTGCCATGATCATCCCAGCCGAGGGAATTTAGCAGTACTCTCCGCGACGAAGGTGGCGTTTTGCAGCAGAATTGCCAAGTGCCACTGTCTGACCCATCAGTCGAGCCCCCCTCCTAGGCAATCGCAAGCAGACAGCGAAGTTTCGGATGCGATGGGGTACATATGTCAAAATTCCATTCAATTTAGAGCCGAATCCGATGAGGAGCTAGCACGACGTCTTCAACGCGAATTTGAGGAGGAAGTTCGACGACAGCAGGAAGAACAGGCTCAAAGAGACGCAGAACTTGCCCAGCGGCTCGCTTTTGTGGAACAACCACATTTGGCCTCATCGAGCAGGTACGTAATAGAAGAATGTTTCATGTCATGATGATAGGCAGCTCATTCGCTGCAAATTTAGGTTTTATGAATGGGATCGGTTTTTCTAGAATTCTTTAAAAATGAATAATAACTGGACGCATTCTATTATCATTATTCAGAGTTGACTTGCCAGTGGCACCACCTTCATACGCATTGAATCAAGCCTTCAGCTGCTCCACTAGATCAGCCTCTGATTGATATCACGAGTGATGACCACACCACTACGGTAAGGTTTTTGCAATTTGTAAGCCTCAAGCCCTGCAAAGAAAACTTGATACGCTCAACTGAAACATGCCAAAGAAAGAATTCGTGAAAATAATATTATACTGGATTCAAAAGCAGAACGTGGTTCGAACCACTTATTTTTGATTACGGTACACGTTGACGCAAAGAAATGTGTGTCGTTATCATCTTTGAGCAGCAATCACGGAGGCGATTGGATGGATGCTGCGACCATTGCCGCCTAGGAATAGGAATTTTCTTTCGGGTGAAAAATAAGATTGAGAATTCTAGACATAGATAGGTGCTGAGTATCTGACGCCAGTACGGCTGCAGGTCCTCCAGCTGTGCCCTTCCTTTGTAGGGTGCGAACCTAAAGGCACATTGCCACACTTGCTGGACTGAGTTATTGTTCCTGAATATAAAAGTAGGTGTGGCAGTTCGTGGATCAATAATGAAGAGAGCTAACAATTACGCTGAAAACACTCAAAAAAGGACCCTTTTCATTGAGCGGGTTGTTAACAGTTTAGTACTTTCCCTCACTTCGAATAGACCAAGTACTTACTTCCATTTTCGGGTGCAAGCAGGCCAATCTAGACTTTGGGAATCCACCGAATCGCTAGCGAGTAGCGAGGTATGAACGATTTGCAAGCTGATCGAAGGATGCTCAGCGATTTGAACGATGCACTAGCGAAGAGTACCTCGGACGCACGCGTTGACTATCACCTTTTCCCATGCTCACGCGTCCTTGTGAGTCTAAGAAAAGGAAAGAGTCAAGGTGAGAAATCGCTGGTGCATGGTCATAACTCGCAATTTACTAGCGGCTAGAGGCAAACCCAGGATTAGCCGAACTTGTGGAAGGCTACCGCGAGGAAAATCGAAGTCTCCTCCCTAGAATATCAACTCCCACCGCGAAAGTTGGCGGCGTTTAGGGCGCTAATCCTTACGAGCCTGCAACCATCGACCCCGTTGTAACGCTTCCCACCCACCTCGATATCGGTGTGCTCTCTTGAAAGGCGTAATCTCTCGCGTGTTTTGTCTTCTTTGACCCCGCCATCGTTCCACATCCGACCTCCATCATTTTTAAGTTAAAGCCTTAGTTCAGTCGATTCAAAGCCTTCTCTTAGCTTGTCGCTTTCCACTTTCAGGCTCGTACTGCAGCTTATCCACCAGCTCTGACTCTATCACCGCCTCTATCCCGGGGCTTGCCTCTAAATAGATTTGCAAAGTATATCACATCCAACTCAGACCTAGGCTCCTCGAGTGTTCCAGAAAGATATAGGTTAACTAGCCACCTGCTTATCCATTTTTTTGAGAATTCACATGTGAGCGGTGTTAAAGTTAATAGGTTACCCACTAAAAGGCAAGGTTGACCTTACTGATGAGCACAGTAGAGGACTTGCTCCACTTTGGCTTCGTCTAAGGGCCCGTCTGCAAAGAGGAAGCCCAGATGACCCTTTGGTGAACCACCCCCCCCTACGCTAATATTCCTTGTATTTTTTGTCCTTATAACAGTTTTTACATTACTTGGCATGCTCCTATCAATATAGTTGCGGGGCGACTCCTCTAGCACACGTGCTTATTTCCACTCGACTGCCATTTGTTTTACATTGTTCTATTGAGTCTCAAGTAGGAAAGATTCAAATAAAGTCCACTGAATAGAAAACACTATCACAAAACAATTTGAATTGGAGAGTTTGTTGATGGCTGTTGCACTCTGTTCGGTGGTTGAACACAAACTCCTTTACTAATCAATCTAACCATCACATGAAGCTTCGTTTTCAGTTCACTAACAATCCTATTCCTGCACTCACCAACGACATCTTAACACCTTCACCTCCAATCCCAACTTTAACCGATGACATCAGCCACGACAGATACGAAAACGTTCAGATGGATCCTTTTCTACCTGGCCCTTCCATGCCATTGGTCACGGAATCGACCCATGGACCAGCCTTGGTGGAAGTCCTCCCCAACAAATCCGTTCCTACAGGACATTGCAGCGCAGGAAACGCTCCAGCCGTCACCACTACCGCCACCGTACCAGTAAGTTTCACGTCATTAGTGAGCACCTAATTGTTACTCAGTTTTTGCTGTGCAAAGCAATGCTAACTCGTTGCCGACCTTCTCGTAAAAAAGGAATGAAAAGGACCAGCTTCTGCACTACAACGCTTTTCATACGGAAACAACTACCTTGCCATTTCACCGCAACTCTTTTTCGGAAGGCGCCACGTATTCGACTTCCTTTCGCCATTGTAGCGTCGCTGAGGGCGTAGCTGTTCTGAGATGATTTTTTCGTGATGAAGTCGATGAACACGCCCACCTTTTCGTACTTCTGAAAGAAACAAGGATTCCGAAGTAGGGTCCGCAAGAGTGTGGCTAATCTGGATGGATACCAATCCGCTCTTCAACCCCTATACCAGCTCGCGATAGCCCACTTGCCACCGTCCCACCTTTCCTTTATCTCTATCTATTAGTTTTATTCCTAATTAATTGCGCATTTTTCCTTTGTGTTGTTATTGCTTTTATTGCCTATGAAAAAAGATTATTATAGTTAATCCCTTATTTCAGCTCTGAATTCGGTCTCCCTCCGCCTTCCGATCTGGCTCTGGGCAAAAAAGACTGAATATCTCCAGCCACCATCCTTTATTCCACTGTCTTACGTTCTCCGTTATTGAAGATCATCTCAATTAACACCTTACACTACCAATAAATAATTTTCTATGGTAGTGCAATGTTCGTCGATCTAGCAAAAGAATGCAATGCAAAGGAGTAATCTACAGATTAATGAGGTTGTGGTTATGATCTACAGGGGAGCGCCAGCTGTTTAATTCGTCCTGGTTTGGAAAACGTGGAAGAAAAATGTGCGATCTGTTGGCCACACTAACTGTCTGTTTGTCAAAACTGCACCATGATTATACACTTATTGGGCTCGCATCTGGATGGAAAGAAAGAAAAGAAAATTCATCAGATATCCAGCTGTTATATGTCTAGTTCCTCCGAAATCCGCCGAACAGCCGATGGATTTTCTTGGGAGCTGAAAAGTAGGGTGGTAGTTTAGGTAGGACTACCCATCGCGAAACAGTCGTGGATGAGGGCAAGGGCGAAAGGGGGGTTAGTCCCGAAATTTCACCTATGTGATGGCCTACCCTGCTCGTTGAAGGATGAAAGAATAAAGCACTTGCCGCTAACCAATCCAAGTTAGATTTGAAGCGATCACAGAGCAGAGTAGCGGTGCTTCCGGCGAGTGGCATCATGAATCTGAAATCCCTGGCCAAACCTCTCCTTAAAGGAGGATTGCACGGAAAGAACGAAGGTCGAAGAAGGGAGAAATCGCCTAGTGGGGAGAGCGGTGAATCTCTTGAGGGTGCGGACAGACACGCAATCGGCATCGAAAGATTTGACCTCTGAGATCTAGCATGGCTCAAAGTTGGCGAGTTCGGCGATCTCCGCCCACCGATCGTCTGATCACTCGCCGTAGTACAATAGGTGGCGAGTGATTAGATAGCTGAGAGAGCGTAGGGTTGAAGAGGGCAAAGCGATGAGAGTCCCATCAATGCTCAAATCAACGGACAAGGAAGGGGTCCCATTTCTCCGGTTCTGGGCCGTTTTTCGTGGTTTCGCTTTCTTTCTGGTACTACTCACCATCTCTACCTCAATTTGGAATGGGTTGCTTTTCCATCGTAAATTCGTCCTTTAAGTAAAATACATGATGCCTATATGGTAGATTATGTGTGCTGATTTTGGAATCTGGAGTGAGAAGTTGTTAGAAAACAACAAAGACGCTCCCGAACAAGGAGACTCTTCTTTTTCAGCCGCATTCCTTAGAGAATAGAGAGGGGGCGTGGGTTGACGAGTTCCACAGTCAAGTCCAGCTGAAATTGGAACCGCCATTGGCGACCGTTTGAGGCGGCCGCTCCTGCACTTTACAGCGGGGGTAGCAGACAGCATGAGGCGAGTATGCGGAAACGAAGTGTGGTGGCGATGCGGAACAGTAGCTACTAGCGCCCTTGTCGCGCCCTGTTCCAACCGCAACAGACGGCACAACACCAACTTGCATGTCTACGTGAAGGTGGAACGGGCGAGACTCCTTAAAGGAATCTTGCGCGGAAAAATCATGATTCTATTTCAGCCATAAATCACTGGCTTGAGACTCATTATCCACGATAATAGTGAAAAGAACTGAAGTATTGCTTTCGTTTTGATTAGAAATTCGAAAACTCGAAAAGGCTGCTACGCGTTCGAATTGCCCACGGACGTCTTTCACGAATGCTGGCGACGGGGATGCTCAAACTTGGTTCTTGGAGTGCATTCACTAGAAGCTCTTTCTGGCCTTCTGCTTCGTTGCATTCACATCTTACACTTCTACTCCATCCTATTCCATCGATCGATTTGTCTCCACTCTCCGAAATCGCGCGCTTTAACCCGATTCTCTCATTGCGTCGCCTGGTACGTAGCCGGCCAAACGCCGTCTTCTTTCCATGCCTCGCCTGGCTCTGCCTCCTGGTCCTTCGATGGTCCATAACGTGTAGTTTTTGTACGTTTGTTTCTCTTCAGAAACCGAATCTTCATGCGTGAAACTTTGTGTGCTATTTCCAGTGATCACAACTGACATATTCATGTTAGGAAAGAGTGCAAGAATTTTCCGCGCAAGATTCCTTTAAACCCTATAATTTGACATATCGGCTGCTGGAAGCAATTAAGAATTGATTGAAGTTGGTATGTACGTACTATGGTACTATGGTGCCATAGTATGTACATACCTAAAAGGCTAAGGCATAAAAGGCATAATCGGCAACACTTCTCCACTGATTTACTTGTTTATATTTACCTCAGCTTCTCGTTGATGTTATAGTTTTATTGCGTATTTTCCTTTCTAACGTTGTCTTACACAGCGTATTGAATAAATAAATAAATAAATGGTGATAAAAGTAAGTGAGTATGATGTCACTCTGGTTTAACAAATCTGTGGACTTCAACTGCAGTCATTGCCTCGAATCAGAAGTCGTGTTGAATCCCACAGCAGGCAAGGTTCTATAGCTATCTACTATTTCAAAGTCATATTTCTATCAGCAGTTTTCCACTGTGTGACTGCCACTTTCCCCAAT